CAAAGCCAGGCCCAGTGCACGGAGCCTGGGATCCTAGGCTCAGAAACACAGAGCCACGGAACCACGCAGCCACTCAAGTGGCCTTGGGCAAGTCCCTTCCCTCTCCGAGCTGTAGCTGCCTCATCTCTCTGGGGAGGGGGCTGGACGAGGTGACCATTAGGCTTCTTCCAGACCTGAAGCTCCAGCCAGGACACCCCTTGTCAAGAAGCCCTGGGAGAAGGAAGAGAATTCCTTCTCTTTTTCCTCCTTGGATTGTCTAACCGCAGCTGAGCATCTGTGGGAGCGGTGTGAGGGCTGTCAGCTCGCTGCTTCTTCCACATTCTGGTTTCTCTGGGGAGCAGGAGAAAGGTGCTGGGCTTCTGGCCTGCCTGCTGTGTCCCCCTGAGAAGGGCAGAGAGGCAGCCGATCTGCACGTACGGGGTTGCAGTGTTAGTTAGTTATCACGCAGTGTGACCTCGAAACCCAAAGCAGGGCAGAGTAAATGAAGGCAGAAGTGACTGTCTGTACAGAAAGGAGCTGACAGGGCTTGGTGCTTGCTAAGAATGACCTGGGACTACACTAAGGCAAAGAGAAGGGACTCATGCTTTAAACTGGTCCTGGAATAGGATTAACATGAAGCATCTTCAGCGAAGGTCCCCCGCTCTGCCCCATGCGTGGCCGCTCCTTGCCCTGGGCCCGGCAGGGTGAACATTGTCGGGTCTTAACTGGAAAAGTAGATTAAGCAGCTACAAACCCAACTGAAATTCGTAGCTGTTTGAACAGTTCTCCTTTGTTAGCGGCACACAGCTGAGGAGGAAATTAACAGTGAGGAATTCACATTTGGCCAGAAGCGAAATATGGAAAGCTTGATTGCCCATTTCCTAAAGGACAAGGTCGTTTTCCTCAGCAGGACCTTAGGTTGCCAGAGGAACCGTTTGCAGAGTCCCAAAGCATTTGGGACCGGGCTCCTCTGTCGTCAGCAGGGCCCACTGGTCTGGAGCAGGATGCAAAATTCTCTGCTGGTGGTTTTAGCTTTAACCCGCTGAAGCCACAGGCCTAGCCAGGGATCAGGACTGTGGGGTGCTATTGGGCCCTGTCTTTGGAGAGACGCTGAGCTTACGCAGAACAGGCAAGGCTCTGACCTTCCCATCCCCACTCAGGGGCAGGATGGCCAAGCAAACAGCAGGAAGGGGCCTGGCTGGCTCCCCCAGGCCCCAGGCCCCCCCTGCCCGGCTGCCTGTCCCACAGACACCCCGGGCAGTGGCTGCAGCTTTTCACCCGCAGGCTCCCTCCTTCCTGTTACAGGAATCTGTGCGAATAGTTGAAATGAGTGGATATGTTACAAAGGTGAGCCGAAACCAGGACAGGCAAAAGGAACAAAACTAAAAGCCCAAAGGGATGAGCTGACCTGGAAATTCTCGTCCACGTGCTTCCCCACCTGCCTCTCCTTTCTCCCTTAGACCCAAGGTTGAGAAGGGCTCGGAACAATGAACCGTGTGGCTCTTGCCGCCCTGCCTTCCGCGGGTGCTTGGAGAGAACCCCTGAGACCCTTCGATGCTGGCTGTGCTGCTGGGGTTCTCCCAAGGGCGGCATTCACAGCCCGGGACGCACAGGATGCTGTGAGGCTGTTTACACACAAAATGGGTGTCATTTGCATGTAATTTCCCTGCAGGCTGTGCTACCCTCCCCAGACCATTTATTCAAGTTAAAAGCATTTTTATAGTTCTCTCCAGGGCAATCACTGCTGGGTTTTTTTCCTTTTTTCTGTGCCGTCTTCTCCCTCAGGACCTCTGCCTGGCCCAGATCTCTGTCCAGGGAGCCGCGCGGCGCCAAGGAAGGACCAGAGAGGAACGCGGAGCTGGCAGCCCAGAGGGGCTGCTCCAAGGGCTTGGCTGCTTATCTGCTCTTTGTCCTGGACACTGGCCCACGTTCTCTTTTCCCAAACTGAACACTGTAATTACATTGTAGAAAGTGGGACTCTAACTCAATTAGTTTACAGAAAGTCTCTGATCTAGAATTTTCTCTGAACTATTCCCTATGCCTTTCTCTTCTGCTTCATGACCCTAGGAGGCTTTCTTTCTTTCTTTCTTTCTTTCTTTCTTTCTTTCTTTCTTTCTTTCTTTCTTTCTCTCTTTCTCTCTTTCTCTCTTTCTCTCTTTCTCTCTTTCTCTCTCTCTTTCTCTCTTTCTCTCTTTCTCTCTCTCTTTCTCTCTCTCTTTCTCTCTCTCTTTCTCTCTTTCTCTCTCTCTTTCTCTCTTTCTCTCTTTCTCCCTCTCTTTCTCTCTTTCTCTCTTTCTCTCTCTTTCCCTTTCTCTCTTTCTCTTTTTCTTTGTGTATGTGCCCCTAGCGGGAACCGAACCCGGGACTCTCTGGTCCACAGGCCGATGCTCCAACGGCTGAGCCAAACCGGCCAGGGCTGCTGCTGCTGCTTCTTCTTCTTCTTCTTTTTTTTTTTAAAAAAAAAAAACAAAAAACTGAGCCTTGATTCAGTTATTGCTGGGCTATCTTACAGACTGATACTTGGTTCTCAGACCTGAGCCTGGCAGTACACAGTTAGGGTGCTGGTTTGTCCAACCCCAAAACCAGGGCCTTTTCTCTGCCCCAGTTTCTTCGACTCTGACGTGAGGGCGTCGGTAGCACGCACCGCACAGGGCTGCTGAGACGAAAGCCCGCTGCAGTGTGAGTACAGCTTCACAAGCGGGGCCGGCACAGCGCTCGGTGGCTGTCCGCTAACGTTACTGTGCTGTGGCTTGTTTTTCCTTACTGTTCCAAGCATTGATTCGTGACTCACTCGTGGGAAGAGAAACTAGTTATAGGCTCGGGAGGCTGCTAGCCAAGATGGGGAATGAACCCGTTTCCCAGGCTCAGAGCAGGCTGAGGTGGGGCCAGAACAGATCCTTCGGAGCAACAAGACTGAGCTGCCAGCCCTGGCCAGTGTGGCTCGTGGTTAGAGTGTCTTCCGGATAGCCCAGGGTCGTGAGTTTGATCCCTGATCAGAGCACATACAAGAATCAACCAATGAATTCATAAATGAGTGGAACAGCAACAAATGAATGTTTCTCTCTAAAAAAAAAAAATCAATAAATAATAAAATATTATTTATTTTTATTTATTTTTATCCTCACCCGAGGACATTTTTGCATTTATCTTCAGATAGAGTGGGAAGGGGGAGAGAGAGTGAGAGAGAGACCCACACAACCCCAACCGGGGCGGGGACAAACTGCAACCGAGGTGCATGCCCTTAGCCGGAACCAAACCCGGGACTCTCTGGTCCGCAGGCCAAAGCTCTAACCACTGAGCCAAACCGGCCAGGGCAATAAATAATATTTTTAAAAGGAGGGGGGCACACTGAGTTGCCTGATTGAGCCATATCCCTGCCTGGTTTTGGCGAGGAAGGAGAAACCCTCTGACAAGGATAAACCCTCCAGGTACAGAGAGTACCATCTTATTCTCTTTACAAGAGCAGACAGCAGGAAGAACAAAAGCTTCTGAACAGAGCCCGGGATTGTGAGGCAACAGTTTACTCTGTGACGTGCAGAAACCTATTTTGAGGTAGTTTTAGACTCTTTCATGTAGTTCACCTTTACCCAGCCATTACAGGTAGGACCTGTGTGTGGTGAAAGGTGGATCAAGGAGGACACCAGTTCCTACCCAAAGGTACGTGTGAAAGCCTTCTAGTGGTTAGGACCAGGGGCTGGAGGGAGGGCTCCAGACTCTGCCGGGGAGCCCTGGTGCTTGGAAGAGCCTGCCACCAGCTTGTCTGAGCCAGGGACTTGCCCCGCAGCTCAGCCTCCTCCATGTCAGTCAATATAAATCACCAGAGATACGTTCCTGCCGCCCTGGGATCTTGGAGAAAGCCAAGGCAAGTGGGCATAGGTACCTTTAACTTCAGGTGTGTTGCCTACAGCTGAAAGAGGGTGATGGAAGATGCAAAATGTCACCACAAAAAGGTGAGAGTCTATGAAATGGCGTCCCCAACCCAATCAAGGGGGGCAGACACTTCCAGCTACATTATACCTTGCCAAAGGGTTGTTGAGTCATGTCCTAGCAGCTGAAAATTTTGATCCGTCCACCCTCTCAGGGAAAAAAAAAACACAGACCAACAAAAACCCAGCAGACCCCCAGCTAAAATAAAAGGTTTAAAGCACAGGTAGGTGTCTATAATTAAGCTCTGGAATGACGTCTCCTGTCTGCCCAAGCTCCCCACTGTGTGATGTGGGTTTGTTGTAGTTGTTGTTGTTGTTTTTATCAACAGGCGTCCCCCGTTCTGCCTGCGTTGCCCTGCGTTGACTCTCCTGGAACCAGGCCTTTCCAGTTTCCAGAAGGTGCACTCCTGGTTGGCGTCTTGGTCTCCTCCCGGGTTGACACTGTCAAGTTCAGGGCTGCTGAGCTGGCCAAGGGGCCGCATAAACACGTGGCATCTGCAGAGCTCAGCGATTTGCAAGATGCTACTCGAGACATCTTCCTAGCGGGTCACCAGCAGTGCCCCAGCCCCGACCCCTGGGAGACGGCACTGGAGGGCACGCGGGTGTCGAGGCGCCCACTGCCGGGGCGAGAGATGGCAGGGAACCTCCGTGGGCTCTGCCTCCGGGCCGGGCCCTCGGGTTCGGGGCGCGAACGCGGCCGGCCTCGCGCGCCGCGCGGTAACCCGAGCCCCGCGGAGCAGGCTCGGCCGGGCCACGCGCCCTGGCCCGGCCCCACCCGCCGCGAGCGGCCGCCGCTCCGCCGCATCCCGCCGCCCATTGGCTGGCGCCGCGCGGCCGCTCCCGCCCCGCCGCGCCATTGGCCGCGGACGCCCGGTCCCCGCGCGGAGCCGCCGCTGACATCACGGGCCCGAGGCGGCGGCGCCCCCGGCCCACCCGCAGCCCCCCTCGCAGAGGCGCCGCGGCGTGCCCGGCGGAGGATGGTGCGCGGCGCGCCCGGGCTCCCCGCCGCCCGAGCCGCAGCGCCGAGGCCGAGCGCCAGCCGGCCGCCCCGGGCAGGCGACCCCCGCTCCGGGCGCGGGGCGAGCGGCCGCGGCCATGGGCGCCCTGACCAGCCGGCAGCACGCGGGCGTGGAGGAGGTGGACATCCCGTCCAATTCCGTGTACCGCTACCCGCCCAAGTCCGGTGAGGGCGGGCGGGCGGGCACCCGCGCTGGGGGGAGGTCGCGACGCTGCGGGGCGGGGTCCGGGGTCCGGGGGACGGAGCGGCCCGGGGCGCTGCAGGGCGAGCTCGGCGGGCGGGCGTGCAGGAGGCGTGCAGGGTGCGGGAGGGGCCTTGGCGGGGTCGCCGGGGTCGCCAGCAGTCGCCGGAGGACGTGAGCGGCCTGCGCTCAGACTGTCCTGTGACAGGGGACTGCGGCTCCCGAGGGGTGGGGAGTCCAGGGCGCAGGCAGGTCCCCTTACTTCCAGCCCGGCCCCCCTTTCCCCTGGGGAGCTGAGGGCTGGGGAGGCGGCGGGCTTGGTGTCAAAACGGGCACCTGTGCTAGGTCCTAGCCCTGGCCGCAGCATCCAGGCCCCAGGGGGGGACGGGCGCAGGTTTGAATCCGGTTTCTCAGGGGACAGCTCCCATTGGCTGCTGGAGGATGGAGGCCGAAAATGGGTTTGCAGTGCTGATGCTTTTCAAGAGGCTGTCAGAAGGAAAAAGAAGTGTTTAGCAGAAATGTTTGGGAATCGAAGTATCAGAGTCATCCAGGCTGTCCCTTTGCCAGAGTAGCAAGCAGCCTGGGTTTGGGAATGGGGAGAGCTGTGGGACAGGGCACAGGTATTTAAAATGATGAGAGGTATCGTGTTTGTTTTCAGAATCGTTAACAGGACAAATGTCTCCAGCCTCTGGGTTGTGGCATAGGCACTGGAGATGGGGGAGGATTTTCACAGCAAAGGAGAGAGGCTCACACGTAGATTGAGCCAATTCTGAGCTGCTGGTGCATGACCAAACTCTCTGCTCTTTTTCATTGCTTTTTCCCAAGACTTCTGGGCACCCATGACTACCATCTTCTCTTTGGCTTAGGCCCTGATGAGGCTTTCAGTGATTTTGGAGAGGTGTCAGAATTGGACAGGAGAATAAAGGCTTGCTAATGAGATGAGCGGTTTCTCAGCAGTGTGCCCAGTTTGTGCCAGGTGAGAGCAGGGACCAGACAGAGAACCTGCGCCCCTGCAGAGCGTCTGCCGGAACTGTGTTTCTCGCTGTGTTTGTGCCAAAGAGTGAGTCCTTGCACAGATGAATATGCTTCAGAGCTGTTTTAGAACAGCCTGGGATAAAGCTGTGGCTCGTTCGAGTTTTAATCACGCCCTAGCTAATTATGACTATGAAACCAGTGCTAAGGGAAGCATGCCTTTTGCTTTTTAATAGATGAAAATAAGCACACGTACTGGTGATTTTTTTTTTCTTTCTGAAATCACTTAGCTTCTATTGATCGGGATATGGAGCATGCTTTGCTGAGCTTGGAGTTTTCAGTAGAGTTTGCTGCCGCAGGGCATCCACGCCTCCTTCACATAAGGGAATTAGTCTAGGTAATTCGCTGCTGGAAGGCTGCTCCCCAAAGGATATTGATATAAGTATGAATCTTGGATGATGATGATGAAAGGATAATGGACCAAGCTAAAACTTTTCTTAGCCAACACACTCAATACGTAGTCTTTTTGTTTTTTATCCTCACCCGAGGACATTTTTCCATTTTTTGTTCAGATAGAGTGGGAGGGAAAGAGGGAGGGAGGGAGAGAGAGAAACATCGATGTGAAAGGGACACATCGAGTGGCCGCCACCCACACGAGGGCCGAGGACACACTGCAACCAAGGTACAGGCCCTTAGCGGGAACCGAACCCTGGTCTCTCTGGACCACAGGCCAACGCTCTAACCGCTGAGCCAAACCGGCCAGGGCAATACCTAGAGTCTTAAATAATCCTCTCCACGCCACTGATTTTTTTAAAAAGTTTTACCTAATTGTTACTCATTTTTTATCAGAAATGTTGTATGAGAGACTTTTTGCATCAAGTGGACTAAATTATTTATGTTGAAGGTAAAACACAGGAAAGAGGAATCAGAACATTCATGTCCCAGCCAGCAAACCTTTGTGTACTTGGAAATTTGTGTGAACTTGCATATATGCACGAGTCTAGCGGTGTGTCTCTTCACCTGGCTCTTTATGGGATTATAGTATTTGAGAGCTGAAAGGAACCTTTGAACGAATGTGGCCTAAGACTCATTTCGCCGTTAAGAAAAGAGAGGCCCAGAGGCATGAATGGGTTTGGCCAGGATGACCCAGGAGGTAGTGTTCTTCTCCTTTATTTTATTCTTTTTAAAGTTTTTATTTATTGATTTTAGAGAGAGAGAGGAAGGAGAAGGAGAGAGAGAGAGAGAGAGAGAGAAACATCGATTTGTTCTTCCACTTATTCATGCATTCATTGGTTGGTTCTTCTATGTGCCCTGATTGGGGATCAAACCCACAACCTGGGCGTATGGGGATGATGATCTAACCAACTGAGCTAGCCGGCCAGGGTGATACTCTTACTAAAACCATCAGCCTCTGCCTTTCACAAGGAATTAGATTTTGAACTTGTCCTTGATGATTTGTGGAATGGAGGCTATTGTGCGTCGGAACTGAAACAAAACTCGGAGTCCTGTCCTTGCTGAGGAGTCGGACTGGGCGGGTGAGGTCTCCTTATCTTCAGGACAGTACAGAACAGAGCAGACAGCAGAGTCAGCGTTCTCCGGGGGCCTGACACTGGAAAGCCTTGGGAACGCCGCGGCCTGGGGCACAGTTGTCCCAGAAGGCAGCGCTGCCATCTGTCTCTGTAACGGTGGTCGCAGTGCCCGGCGGAAGCCGCTTTTTGCTCTTCGTATTTTTAAAGGACACCCCTCGTTTTGTATGTACATTGAGCTGGAAATGTTGAAAAATGATTGAGAACAGCCGATTTCATGTCGGAACTTGGGTTTGTAGCTTTTTTTTTCTTCTAGAGATAGGTGAAAATAAAACAGCCTGAATGATTTAGAATTACTTATTTTTTGAATAACTAATGTAGTCAGGTGGTTCAAAGTTTCAGAGAATGGAAAGGCATCCGGTCAAAGTCTTGTTCTCACTGCAGCTGTCAACACACCCAGTTCTCCTAGCTCCCCACACGCCTGCCGTCCCTGTGTCCCTGCTTCGGTTTCTCCCAGAATTCCTTGTGTACACGTACGCGAAGCATGCTTTTTAGACTGTCCTGCACCTTATGTTGTTCACTTGGAGAGATAGTGGCGGTATTTTTATATTATCTCCATACTGGAGAGTTTTTTTTGGTTCTTTTTAAACAACTGTATAATATCCCTTTGTTTGCTATCATTCTTATTTTTAACACAGTCTCCTGTTGATGAGTATTTGGGAGTTTTTTCAGTCTTTTACTATTGCAAACAGTGCAGCCGTGATTAACGCTACACATATGTTCTTAGGTGATGTTTTGATTTGTTAATAAATCTGTGAATACTAATCATTGAAGGAACAGGAGGTATGGTGGGAGTTCATGTCTCTGTTTCTCTATAGCATTTCTGCATGCGCACGGAAAGCTATTTATACAGCACTGCTCTGTATTTGGTTTGGTCTTTGTCATTTTTTCTTTTTAATTTTATTTGAAAGAAAGAGAGAGAAACATCCATTTGTTGTTCCACTTCTTTGTGCATTCATTGGTTGATTCTTCTATGTGTCCTGCCTGACCAGGGATCAAACCTGCAACCTTGGGGTATCAGAAGGACACTAACAACTGGGCTACCTGGCCAGGGCCAGGTCTTTGTCTTCTTTTTTTTTTTTTCCTTTGTTGATTTTAGAGAGGAAGTGAGAGAGAGAGAGAGACATCGATGAGAGCGAGCATCGATTGGCCGCCTCCTGCATGCCCTCCACTGGGGATTTGGGCCACAGTCTGGGCACGTGCCCTGACCCAGAATCAAACCAGCAACCTCTTGGTGCAGGAGTCGACGCTCAACCACGGAGCCACACTTGCCAGACATGTCTTTTTTTTTTTTAATCCTCACTTGAGGATATATTTTTATTGGAGAGAGGAAGGGGGGGGGGAGAAAGAGAGAGAGAGAGAAACATTAATGTGAATCGATTGCCTCCTGCATGCAGCCGGACCAAGGATTAAACCCACAACCTGGGTATGTGCCCTGACTGGGAATCAAACCCTCAGTCTTTCAGTGTATGATGCTCTAACCAACTGAGCCACACTGGCCAGGATAGGTCTTAGCCATTTAAAAAAATTTTTTTTTCTTTATTAATTTCAGAGAGAAAGGAAAGGAGAGGGAAAGAGAGATAGAAACATCGACTGGCTGCCTCCTGCACGCCCCCCACTGGGGACTAGGCCCACAACCTGAGCACGTGCCCTGACCAAACCTGCGACCTCTTGGTGTATGGTAGACACTCAACCACTGAGCCACACTGGCCGGGCAAGTCTTCGTCATTTTTTAGTTAGAAGGTATTCATGCTTTTAAATCCTTCTCTAAGATCTTGGCTTCTTTAAAAGCCCACAATCATTCATTTAGCAAAAGTAGGGCTTTGCTGAGATGGTGGTTTTTAATGCATGCATGCCCATCTTTTGAAAGGGATATCCACATTGACGACAGTCATTAGGCCTGTTTTCTCTATCCAGGAAGAAATAGCATGCTATAAAGACCATTTAATTAATTTAATTCAGTACCTGATGAATCTGGTTCATTTACTGCTACATATTTGAGCAAATTGAAAAATAGAGTAATTAATTTTGCTCCAGTGTTAAGAGGTAAACCCATTATAAAAATTCAGAATGGTCCCCCGGCCATTCAGTGGTTGAGCATCGACCCATGCACCAAGAGGTCACCGGTTCGATTCCCGGTCAGGGCACATACCCAGGTCGTGGGCCAAATCCCCAAATGCAGGAGGCGGCCAATCGATGTTCTCTCACTGATGGTTCTATCTCTCTCTCCCTCTCCCTTCCTCTCTGTCTAAAATCAATAAAGAAAAAAAAATTCAGATGGCCATCAGCGTCCTGAGCGGTTAACATCGTCATTATATTGGAGTGCACATTTGCTTGTCAAGTGTGTTGGTCCTATGGCAAGAGCAGGTTTGTTTTTGTTTTTTAAATCTTCATCCAAGAATATGTTTTCCATTGATTTTTAAATA